AACTCATCTATCGCAGTTGCCGGTTGACGAGATCTTGGCGAGGCGCAAAAGGCGGAAGTGCGCCACACAATGTCTTAGGCCCGGCCCGAAAGTTCGCACTCGATCTTGGTCTCAGTTTGACGTACGGAATGAGATAACAGTGCGAAGATCGCCGACCAGCGCGCCTGACATTGATGCACGCTGGCAATGTGTGAAAGGGACGACGACGTCAAGGGATCATGCTTTCAGAAGATACCGTTCCCAAAGAGCGAATCGCTGCCTTTCGCGATGCTTCATCTGACTTCACCTGTTACACTGCTCTGTCGAGGCTACACCACATCATTAGTAATGTCTCTGATCTCGACAAGCAACCTTGGCAGGTGCCACGATACGTGCGCATGACAGACGTCGAAAAACGACGTCATGTATACTAGATTACACACGCATACCCATAACGAACTTCCGTTCAAAGCCAACTCTGCCAATAGCCCTTTGGAAGAACTTCAACGGTGAGCCTCAGCACGACCAGTCACATGTTCATCTTTAGAACACACTTCGCTCTCCTTTGCATAAGCTCCCAGTGCCTCCTCAATCATCCTCGAGTGTGTTAGGACACCTGATAAAACAACTTCATGGAGTTGTTATACGGAGCGGCAATCGCATGCGTAATCTGCCAATCTCAATGCTAGCAGAAAGATGTGACTTCGTAGTGAAAAAATACTCAACAAATCAAAAATTTAATACTTTACTACCTTGCCCAGGAAGTGAACAATTTTACGTGCTGTAATCGGAAGAAGGCAAGCCAGCGAGCAATTGAGCATCACTAATGTCCTAGCTTAGTCGGTCACAAGTTTGCCGCAAGCCAAAGTGCTTTCAACGCGCTTAGCACGCGTGCTCTCTGGCTTCTGGTTACATGTGGCGTTGCGTGCTCAAGATGCTTTGAACCCCGATTTCGGGGTGATAGCGGCATTGACAATAGTGTAGCATTTTCTCAGCTTTTCTCAGCTCAGATAAGTCTCCTCTGAACTCGTGGTGCGCCAAGTCTAATTCGTGAGTATCAGTGCCACGAGTGCACTACTGCATATAATGTTTTGGTAAAAAGCCCTTGCTCATCCGGGGGTCATGCGGCTTGTCAATATGGCTGCGTGTGCGGCCGTATCTGCAGTTGTGGGATGAGGCATTTTCACAAAGCGCCTCACTAAGTCGTCGCTACTCTTCGTGTGATCATACCCCTCGTAGAGGCTGACAAGACTCAGTGTTGCAGGCCCCTCAACCTTAAACGCATTAAGCATCGTAGTATTCGGTCAAGCGTCCAGGATCCCGATCCGTCACCTGGATCAGGGAGCTTTCTTCAGCTTTCCGGATTGGATCACGTTGAGGGGTCTCCAACGTCCACAGCCGAAGCGAAGCCAAATGAGTAAGTAATGGCTTACTTGACCCTTCTTCAATCTCTTTCTTCAAAACTGAGTCAAAATTCAGCTTTTGCGACATCAACGCTGTCCATCGGATGTGATGTCACTTCCAAGGAAAGCACATATGGCCTCCAGGGTAGAAAAGGCGGGCTTCGAAGAGTATCTTCAAAGTCAGGGTGTCAGTGGCTCGCGATTTATGGTTACACAAGCCCGGAAATCACCAAGTCTTATTGCGAGAGGCTATGCCACGATCAGCGATTGGTAATTCGGATCTCGCAGTAGAGAGAACGTCTTCGGCGCGGACAAGAGACAGAGCCAAGCTGATGTGAGACAGAAAGCGCCTCCGGCCGATTACGCCAACGCCAAGTAAACGTCCCGTTTTGGGCCGCAACTTACCATGCCAGTCTAAGCTTCTTTGGAATGGATCCAGGTGTCAATTCAGTTGGGAAATCTGCACAACCGAGATAGGCAGCGGATCCCGTGGATTTCATAACTTGGAGTTGTTGAATGACGGGTTTGAAATGCAAAGATACAAGAATGTTTGGAAGATGAGGAGAATTTATGAGCATTCCTCTTCGCCAGCTATTGCCATGCCCATCTATAACACCAGACCGAGCCCGAGTCGGGACACTTTGAGTAAACCTTGACTCGGGAATACAAGACACCCGCCGCCGGGTTCCGCCCTGTCAAAGACACGAGACGACACAAGCCGATTTCCACCTTCAGGTTTCACCCCAACTTTTTTTTTGGTGTGAGGTGTCAGCCCGTCCGAACGAAAGCGTCAACTTTGTTCGGGAAGCTAAATAATCGTAATTAAGTGCCCGGTTCTAACGATTTTCGATTCAAAAAGCCTCGATCTGGCCGCCACCTTTCTGCCTACCGCAAACAACGTTTCTCAAGCACAGCGGCCGGCCCGAAGTCATCATTCTGTCATACCGGCTGGTTTACACGCACTTAAACAGATCGCTCATCTCACCCCAGAGCTGCCACATGCCACCGATGCGAAGGGGGCTTTTCCTATAGAGGAGCTGTGGCTCGGGAGCCGAGACGGATTTTGATGTGGAGTTACGTTCTGGCCATCATCGCTAATTAGTTAAGTACGGATTCGAGGAGGGTATCGTCATTTGCGGCTGAAAGCTAGGAGCGAGAGGTCGGCACGGAGTAATTATTGCATCCCACACTTGTACAGACGAGGCTCAAAGAAGACGATCTTGGATGAGAGACCCCGCCGAGAGTCTTCGGGGCCCGTATAACAACTTTGGAACCACCTTTCTCAACATCCAGGGTACCTCTCTCGTCCAGTCCTTCCTCGACTCTATTCTCTCCGCACCGTTAGCCAAGGGACGCACTTCTTCTTTGAATAGGTTGCTTGGCTATCAACTTTCAACATGCGGTTCACAAACCCATTCTCGCATCCTCCACAAGACACATACGAGCAGCACTCTCTCATCGCCGAGCAAGATGGCCGAGCCTCACCGTCAACAGAATCGCTGGACGAGATCATCGACATTGAGAAGCGCGAATACCCCTTCCTGATCTCAGTAAGATCCGCACGGAATTCAGTATCCTCATTCCTCAACGAACACCTTCACCTCGGCGGCGACCTGACATGGACAGACCGCCTCCTCACACTCCTCACCACCCTGAAGCCATTCATCTTCCTCTTCCTTCCTACGTTCTTCATCAGCCCCTTCAACTACTTTACTACAGCCCCGAGCCGGCGACCAAAGCCCAGAAAGTTAGGCCCAACAGCATACCTAGACGGCCTCCGCGGCGTCGCAGCCTTTGTGGTCTACATCTTTCACTTCTCCTACCTCTGGTTTCCAGACCTCCGATGGGGCTACGGCTTCGCGGGCCACCAGATGTTCTGGCAGATGCCCATCGTCCGGGCCCTGCACTCTGGTCGCGCCAGTGTCACCGTCTTCTTCGTCATCTCAGGCTTCGTCCTCACCCTCAAGACCGTGTCGATGATCCACAAGCGCAAGATGGACCAGGCTCTAAGTGCCCTAGCCGGCTCCGCCTTCCGCCGCCCCTTCAGGCTGTACCTCCCCATCTTTGCGTCGACCTTCATCATCGCTCTACTGGTTTATGGTGGAGAGTACGTAAGAGATCCCTCGGGAGCACCTGTACCGCCGCGGGGCCCGAGTCTCGACCAGCAGCTGCAGCACTGGTTCTGGAGCACGGTCAACCTGATGAACCCGTTCCGACCAATTGTCAACAGGGAGAACATGAAGGGAAGCGAGTACGACGGGCATCTCTGGACGATCCCCGTCGAGTTCAAAGGCTCGCTACTCGTCTTCTTCCTCTTGCTCATCTTTGCGCGAGCAAAGAGGTGGATTCACATGGTTGGCGTCACGGGTGTCACCCTCTGGCTGGTCCACATCGGCGACTGGGATCAGGCTCTCTTCTGCGCCGGACTTCTCCTCGCAGAGCTCTCCATCATCATGCCCAACACCGCCCCAACGACAGAAACACCCGAAGACCGGCTCCCTAGCTACAGACTGCGCGTCGTCAAGAGATACGGCTCAAAGTCCGTCCTCATCTTCCGCCACGCAGGCACACTAGCCCTCTTCTTCCTCGGCCTGCATCTCTTCTCCTACCCAGAGTACTACGGCGCCTTAACCCCGGGCTTCATCACAATCTCGCAATGGGTGCCAGACTACTACAAAGCAATGGGCGACCGCACCCAACTCTACTGGAACTCCATCGGCGCCATCATCTTCATCTTCGCCTTGATGTACTCCCCGCCCGTCACCTTCAACCTCAAGTCCCTGCTACTCAGGGGTCGCAACATCCGTCTGCCCTGGCACCAAACCACCCCGGATCTCGACGACGACGAAAAGGAAGAGCTCGCAGCAGCAGCTACATCTTCCTCCTCTACGGAACTCGAGGCAGAAAAAGCTGAACCGCTTCTCCAGCGCCCCTTCACCACGAGCTTCGCGCAGTATCTCGGACAGATCTCCTACTCGTTGTACCTGTGGCACGGCGCCATCAACCACATGGTGGGCGTCAGGTGGCTTTCGCCGGCGCATGGCGCTTTGTCGCTTGCCGGTGCCCAGGCCAAGGTGCTCACGGAGGGCGGGAACACCGCCGGTGCTACTGAGATGGTGAACAAGGCCTGGGGCGCCTACGAGCTTGCGTTCTTCTGGGGATCGCTGGTTAACACACTGGCTCTGTTGTGGGCAAGCGATGTGTTTAATCGGATAGTTGATGTAAATGCTGTTAAGTTGACTCGTTGGCTTGGTGAGAAGGCATGGAGGAAGGATTGATCCAGTGTGATACTGAGAGACCACATTAGCGAATTCACGAGCATTACACTTTCGATAAGTGTTCTAATAGCATAGTCAAATCCAATTTTACGATATCATTCAACCCAAAGTTCTAAGCGTGTATGAGACACTTCCAACTTTTTGTGCAATGAGTAGTGTGATGATGCCAGCCCAATCCCTTGCTAGACTACTGGAGTAGAAAATCATGGACTTCCTCTCACATGTATACGAGCTGTAGCAGCACTCCTTAAAAGCATTGTCTCATTTTGTACAGAAAGTGGTCACCCCGAGGCAGTCTGAATGCGTTGTAACCGCACCAGTCCCCAAGCTTGTCATTAAATCATGCCGCCGTAAATCCACATCCAGTTTTTCCACTCTCATTAGCAACCGCCGTGGCCGAACAAACTCCCTTAGGCCCGGCACAGCAGCCGGAAGCACAGTCCGCGTTCGAGAGACACTGACCCGTGATGAACTGCTGACCATTCCCTTTGCCAACATTCTGTGAGCCAGGAGCACCAGAGGTGCCAGCAGCAGCGCCAGAACCTGCACCTGTACCTACGGACGGAGCAGCTTGGGGCGGAGCGGCAGCCTCAGCGGCCGTGCCGCCTCCAGTAGAGCCAGTGGCGGCACCCGCTCCCGTGCCCGTAAAGCCGCAGCCTGCTTTGCCATTCTCCGTTGCGACGGCTCTGGCGGCACAAGCACCCTTGGGGCCGTTACAGCACCCCGAGGCGCAATCCGCATCAGACAGACATTGCCCAGTGATGAACTGTTGGCCGTTACCGGCGCCGACGTTCGAAGATGTCCCTGATCCTGCGCCGCCTCCGCTTCCGGCGGCGGCTTCCATGGACGGAGCAGCCTGGCCTGCTCCCTGGGACGCGGCGGGTGCTGCAGCAGCACCACCATCACCGAAGCCGCATCCTGTTTTGCCTGCCTGGAATTGGGCTCCAAGTCCAGAGCAGATGCCGGCGCCGTTTAGAGTCGCGCAGCAGGTTGAGGCGCAGTCTTTACTGTTGAGGCAAGCGCCGCCGATGAACTGGACGCCGTTGCCATTGCCGACGTTCTTATCACCAGATGGGTCTGGTGTCAAGGGACTGGGAATTGCAAGGGAAGAAGCAGCGACTGGGGTATGTTAGACCGAGTTGGATAGTAGAGTAACAGCGGGACGTGCGAGGGATAGAACTTACAGAATGCTGCGGCAAGGGAGAAGCGAACCATGATGTAATAATGAGAGTAAGAAGAGAATGAAGTACTGTCAAAGTACTGGAGTATAAGAATACAAGAACAAGAAGTAAGTGACCGATGCTGTCCCTTTGAGTTAGATTCGCATCCAGCTCGCGAACATCCGCCATCTTAAGTATGTTCCCCGTCTCTCCATCTTTGACGATAAAAGAACAATTCGAACACTCCTGCACGTCTGCCAGGGCTCTCCGCGCTTGCTGATGCCTCCCGTCTGTCAAGCTGGTCAGCCAAAGATGCGACGCAGGTCTGTCACAGGGGCACGTTTCTGCAACTGAGGCTGAGCAAGTGAGCAACCAGAAATCGCAAGCTGAATGACCAACATCTTTCTCTTTTCGTTGCGTAGTAGTGCTGTCAAGATTCGGGACCGCCACCCGGCGATCCTGATGCCGTCGAAACCCCATGAGACCAGATGATCAGAGACCATGGCGCGGCGTGGACCAGTGAGGTTGTCGAGGCTGAGGTTGGAGAACTGGGTCGCAGACGAGGCCGTCCCTGTCGTGCTAATGTTTCGGATGGGACGAAACATCGGAGAACGGCAAACGGGCCTAAACGCGCTCTCGAGCCCCTGAACCAGGGCTACCGCCGGCTAGAGAAAGAGAGTCGTCGACCTGGCTCGGTGGAGAGGAGATGAAGAAAATTGTGGTCGCTGTAGAATTTCTGCATTGCGTGCGAGCTCTCCCCTGCCACGATCTTCCGACGATCCAGGTTTCCCCATCTTCACAGGTGTAGTATGGCCCAAGCCCGTAATGGCAGCTCATTCGTCTGTTTTCTTTGGTCTGGCTTAGACCAGCATTGCGAAACGAGAGAGGCTGTCAGCTCGGTGTGGTCTGTCCCATCATGGGCCGTTTGAAGCGAAGGGTCTCCTATTATTCGCGAAGAAGGATTCGACTCCACGGTGACCCAAAATCCAACCCCATTTTCCCTAGGGTTGAATGTGGGAGAAGTCGCAGTCTGAGGACATGGTGCGGATGGATGTTTGGCCCGCCTCACAGCATGAATGCTATCCAGTACGGCCATATGTAATGCCTCGTCTAAGCCTCGCAGTACGGTGTTCACATCTCGTAAAAGGAGGTTTGGAAATCCGTGATGCTGCCTAGACGTGATCCTTGAAAGGGGCAACCTCGAGTAACGTTGCTCCACGACGTGACGTAAAAGGACCGCGGCGGGCTAACTGCTATGCCGAATTCAGTGTTGAACATCATCTTTCGAGACGGATGATTTTCCCGTGGCATTGTTGATAGAAAGTGCCAAGAAGAAGACAGACGTCGTTGAATGTCCAAATGTTCAGCAGAGTTTCGCGAAGTTGTGAGGATCAGCCAAGCGGTGCCCTGTGAGGAATTGACTTTCCTACAGCACAGGGGCTCTCCTGTCCAGTGCTCTTTTGGCAGCTTCGGGACTCAAGGCCCCTGCCGTCCCAGTGAAGCTTACTTTATCTCTTATCTAATCAGTGTGTCGTCTTATCGTTATCTTATCTTCCCACACATCACCGACGGTCCCTCGGGCGAGACACTCCATTGAGAACCGCATCTTCATCTCATCGCCGACCTTCGTTTTAAAGGCTATGATAGGGAGACTGCCGCGCGAAGAATCCGATTACATCTTCATCCAAGACGAAATGTGCCGGATTCTCTCTTCTCCGCAGAGCCGAATGTCGCATAGTAGCCACCAGCCCGATGCAGGACCGGATCACGAGAGTCTTCCACGGACGTATGGTACTGACAGTCACAATCCAACATCGGACCGATCCACCGGCGCTGTCAGGAAGCGGGATCATAGCGGAGGATATGAAATTACGAGTACTTGGAAGCAATCGGCCGGGACTCCCCGATGAAAGCGCCGAAGAAAGGATGGCCAGCCGTCCCAGAACACCGCTAGAGTACCATCACCCGAGAGCGACTTGTGAACGCGGGCTGGTCCAATCTCGACAGAGACTCTTCACTGCTCTTCGGGCTCCTGTAACCTTTGAGCATGTTCTCGGGCGGTGAATGCTCCGGCAACTTCAATGTACAAAATTCAGCAGCGACTGGATTGCCATGCAAAGTGGCTTTCGGCTTGCATCCTTCCCTACTCCCCCCGGTGCATCTGATTGGGCCACGACACGGACTTCAGTAACATCGAATCCCTTGAGAACCCAAGACGACCTATGAGATTGTACCATTTGCAGCATCTCGCCCAGGGTCTACCAGCGCATCCGTGGTGTTGACCTGGCTCCCGGAATCGTCCCAACGGCTAACCTGCATTTTGACACCTCTCAAGATGCACCTCTAAGCTGCATCGCCCTAGTGTCGCCCTATCCCATCTTTGGATTCTTCGGCCTATGTCAGCTAAGACATGTCGCCCGCTGGAAGCAGTCGAATCCCCCTCCCTCAGGGTGCCTGAGTACCTAGTGACATCAGGCATCCCAACATTCCAGGAGAACCCCGCTTGCTGGCCTGCGGGATTGTTCGCGCCCCTCCATCCTCGTGTCGAGTTTGAATTGCTTCTGCTTCACCACTGGGCCCATACTCATGGTCTAAAGAATTCAGATCAAAGAGTCGAAGTCTCTTGAATATGGCTGCGCCAGCACACGACGTCGTGGTGGAACCGGACGACTTCAATGACAATGACTCGTCCCTGGGAGATGTCAGCAACGTTCGACACCTTGTCATCCCTGTCAAAGTCATTTCGTGGCTGATGGTTGCTACAGGACGGAACCTCCTCGACCGCGAGTTTGAGCAGCTCGATTCTCGACTATCGCAAAGAAAATGGCCGCACCTATCACAAGTTTCGCGATGGGAGTCAGTGATGCCGAGCCTACAAACCCCTTGATCCTTCACTGACACCCTAGGAGAGTATCACTTTCCAAATGATGAAGAGGAAAACGAGAGATTAGGTCAGTTTTGGTGGTCACCTCCTCCATTATCAGAACTGATTCTAAATTGACACTCAAAGATCTTCAACACCACATCTTTGACCTCTCTTTCGATGGGAAACTCGGGTTGTCACCGCCTAATGAGCCCGAATCCAACGTTGGCCGCGTACTAGACCTGGGAACCGGAACAGGCATCTGGGCCATGGACTTTGGAGACGAGCATCCCGGGGCCGAGGTTGGTGTTAACACATCAGTACAGCCTATGGCCTTCTTACGCTGATATTGCAGGTCACCGGCGTTGATCTGTCACCCACCCAACCGCAATTGTCAGTATCGCTAACCGCTTTTACCACAGGCATGACATTGACAGAGCATACAGTGTACCACCTAACGTCAAGTTTGAAGTCGACGACATCGAGGACACTTGGACGTACTCGCGTCCTTTCGACTACATCCACAGCCGGATGATGAACTCTAGCATCTCAAAGTGGGAGGAGTACATCCGCCAGTCTTATGAGTAATCGCAGGCATGACTTCACCTTGTGCTAGACAGGCATTGATGCATCATGACAGAAACCTCACCCCCGGCGGCTGGCTCGAGCTCCAGGAATTCGGCCTACCCCTCTCTGACGACGACACCCTGACAGAGGAGCACGCTCTCTATCAGTCCATGAAGCACCTTGGCGAGGCAGCAGCCAAGACGAACCGCGCCTTTGTCGACCTCGACGCGCTCAAGCCTATGCTAGAGGCCGCCGGCTTCGTTGACGTGGCGGAGCTGCGCTTCAAGTGGCCCAGCAACACATGGCCGCGAAACGCAAAGTTCAAGGAGCTCGGCGCCTGGAATTACGAGAACATCACGACCGGTCTGCAAGGGTTCCTCATGGCAGCGCTCACGCGGGGGCTGGGCTGGAAGGCGGACGAAGTCAACGTGTTGGCCGCGCAAGCAAGGAAGGATGTCGGGGACCGAAGTATCCATGCATACTGGCCCATGTGAGCTGCCTTTTCCTGCATCGCCGGTTGTCTGATGGCTGTTGCGTGGAAGAAAAGTACTGACTCGAGCAGGATCGTGGTGTATGGAAGAAAGCCTGGCTCTGGTTAAGCCAACGCCAGGGACTCGAGTAGGAATTCGTCCGGGCCGGATCCATATGGAAGACGGGCCGGGTGGGTTCCTCCGCACGGAGCACAATTCTCCAACACTGGGAGCCCACCCATCCTTACCCCGAATTGGTCCACAATTCCCGAGCAGGCGGACGCGAGAAAATTTTTCACGGACGAAGCCATCGAGATTTCGGGCTCGCCGACGGAGCCAGCCCTACCCGCGCCCACACGCCACACAGCCAACCGCCTCCCTTCTTAGTACCACCCGGAGCCGTTGTCTTCAACACTCAATAACCCGCCTTGCTAGCTCAATCGGTAGAGCGTGAGACTCTTAATCTCAAGGTTGCGGGTTCGACCCCCGCGTGAGGCTCAAATCCTCACCGCGATTGGCAAAGCCACTCTTCGGGTTATCCTCTTGGTTTTTTTAGTCGTTTTTGCTGGCCTCTTCTTTGGCCTGCTCATTTCTTCCCTCTAGATAATTTGGTTTCCATCCTTTCTTAATGCTGGTTCCTATGGATCCCGTAGATCCCACAGAAGCGCATCATGAGAAGGAGAAAGCTTTTATGAACAAAGTCCACTAGAACAGTAACAAAGAACACGACAATCGTAAAGCTATCTCCCAAGTATCGGTAAGTAAGGTTGTTTGGCATGTGCCCATCACAAAACCCAATAAGAAACCATCTGTAAGCATGTTGTAGAAACACCAAATCCCGCTCCTCTCCCTGACCTCTGCAACACTCCCTGCCCATCACTCATCCTCAACCTCGACCCCCCTGAACTCAAACACCCGATTCCACTCCGGATCCGCAAGCAAATCCCACACAAGTTCCTTCTCCACCGCCAACGAGATCTCGTTCCCCTCGTCATCCCCACTGGGACTCATCGTCGCAGGACGCGGCGGGTACACCACCACGAGCCCACCCGTCACAGAGTCCCACGGACACCGGAACCCGCTGGGGCGACCGAAGCCAAAGTCTGCCGTATACGGGTCCGCGTCGCGCCAGTCCGTGACGAGGAGAGTCGTAGGCGGGAAGACGTCGGAGCCGGCGTAGAGGGTCAGCTTGTTGCGGACGCGGGCGATGCCGGATAGCATTGCGTCGATGGCGGATGGGGTTATGCTGTTTGTGAGTTGGCGGATGTACCTTTGGAAAGAATATTAGCTGTCTGTCGATTCGTCGTGTTTTGGTCCAGTACAAGTCGGATGTTGGTAGTACGGATACGCGTGGAGGAAAAGAGGGAGCAACAAGACAGAGAAAACTCACCATGCAAGCTTGCTAAAAGGTGCATCTTCAACAACCTCCTTGATTGTAAACTGCGGCACAACATGAGTACTCCTCGACGCGATAGCAACAGCAATAACATTCCCCTGTGTACGCGCCGGCATAGGCTTCCCCGACGCATCGCACAACCGCCTCCTCACATCCACAGCCTCAACCCATTCAACCAACGTCTCGGGGTCAGATTTATGTAATCGGGCTTTATGCTTCACCAGGACGCGCCACAGGTACGCATTGAGCGCATCGTAGCTTGAAATCCAGCAGTCGCTGCCGTTGCTGCTGCTGTCGCTGCTTCCATCCGTAGCCAGCGCCGGGGTCGCCAACCGCTTCAATTCAAACAGCTTACTCCGCGGGATATGGAAAAGCAACCTCGAAGCAGCCCTCTGCTCGGGATGCCGCGACGGTCTCGGTGGCCCGTCGACGAGTTGGTCAGCGGGCGGGTCCGCGACCGTGACGCGTGAGAGGTCCAGGCACGCGGGGTCCCACGGAGGCAGCTCCGGTGGCGCAGCAGCAGTAGCAGCAGCAGTCGAGGTAGCATCACCAACACAACCAAAATTATTACTACTACCACCACCACCGGCAGCGGCCGCCGCACCCGCATCCGCATCCGACGCCGACGCAGCCCAGATGGCGGCACAGTTCTCGGCCAGCTGGCGCATTTCCCCCGCCCACCCGTTGACGTCGTTGGCCAAGTGGTGGTGCATCATCATCAGCACCAGCCCGTCGCCGGGGATGAAGCTCGCTTTGAAGGACGCCGCCTTGGGATTATTCTCTGGACGGTTCGCGGGTTTTTCGGCGGGCGTCATGGGCGGGACGCACCATAGGTTCAGACCGGGGCCGAAGGCGCGGGTGCTAAAGTGCTGGCGTTCAAAGTCGGCGTAGGAGGGGTACTCTTCATCACCCCCATCTTCTTGATCCGCGGCGTCATCCTCGCCGTCGTCATCGTGGGATTTTTTGCTACCGTCGAGCCATTGAACGTGAAACTCAACCGTGTCTTCGCGCCTCTTGTGAAAGCACAGGCCGCTCTCGCCGTCGGGATCTTCCCTCAACGTCCCGCAGAGGCGACGGCACTGGCTGAGCGTGATTTCGAGCCCTTGCTTGAGGACCTCTACGATCCTGTGCTTGTCTGCCCCCGGGTCGACTTTGAAGAAGAGGGCGTAGGCGCAGTAGATTGTGCCGGAGCAGTAGTCTAGCGTGCAGAGGCGGTGGTATTCGTCTTCCGGGTCGGATTCCCAGCCCGTAGGGTGGAGATTGTACACGTCGACTTTCGGGAGTTTCCTCTTCCTCTTCTTCTTCTCCTGCTGGTGGTGTTGCTGCTGCTGCTGCTGCTGTTGACATCCAGATTCAAACTCAACCCGCCCCCTTAGGAGCGATGTAAACGTCCCCATGTTTAGAACCAGGCGGTTGAGGAATTGGAATGAAAGCAATTTGAGTTTCCAGCGGTGACAACAACTTTGACAAATCGGAAAGGTTAACGGGCAAGGGCCAGCGTAATTTCAATACCCACGTCCGAAGTTCCCCACTGGCAGAGCAACGTAGAAAGGGAGGGGGGGGGTGATGAACCCTCTATTTATTATGATATTCCCTTGTGGTTTTGGACGTGGACCAATTCCCTTCCGAGTTGCAACTCGAGGATGGGGCATCGCATTCCAGAACGGGTTCTACAGGGTGAGGAGCTGCGGGACCACTTCATAGCCTGGCTGATGGAAAGGCACAATGGGTGCTGGGATCTCGAGACATCGCGCCTGCATGTGGTGGCCCTTGATCGTGAGAAAGGGGGATTCTACCATCGTTAATGGCGCTTGATGAAAATAACAAGTTACAACTTCCCTCCAGGCCTACACAATTCAGCGAAGGCGGGGTTGTTGAGCTCGCAGAATGTAGCTCCAATCAAGCCAAGTTAAAAAAAAAAAAGCTGCTGAAAAGGTGTAATATTTGCTGTTGCTCTGAGACATGGCGCCCGAAAGTTATTGAGCTCTGGAGGATGACTGAGGTCGCGTGAGTTGTGATCCCAAGTCTATTTACCGAGGGTTCGAAAGACTCGAGGCTCCAGTCCTGGGTCAAGTTGAGCAGTGGCAAAAAGCTGCTAAAACTCACAGAATAGCTGCTGAAGTTATGGAATGTTTGCTTCAATTATAAGACATGGCGTAAAAAGTTGCGAAACTGGAGAGGGAAAGTGGTTACTAGTTCCGTTAGTGGCGCTGGACAACTCATCCAAGTCTAGTCACTATCCTGGGTAGTACTCGAGGTGGTTGCGAAGGCCGAAGGCAACTCATATCGAACACAATGATTGAGCAGTATTCTCCCTCAACGTGTGTGTCATTCCTCCACAACTCCAGGTAGTCAGGCTTTGACTCCTGCGATATATCCCGGCGAAGGAAAAATTGTAACCAATGACACACTCCGATCAGTAGCTGGACAATTGACCGAAACATCCATCGGGCGAAAGAGGGTCTCTAGAGTTGCGTTGGTGGCGCCCCGCGTAGATGTAGATTGGCCAAGAGCATGCAACTGTGCAACTCACAACTCTGTCGTGTGGTTGTCGGCGTTGGTTGCTGGAGACTCAAGGTTAACTCGACAGGGGGACAATGTCTCACATCTGGACTAAGGTAGGCAACCAGGCCAAAACTAGTCATGAATTTCAACCGGACTTTGACCAGCCTCCAGTGACGTGGGAGTGATTGGTCTTCGGCGTTCGCGAGAACAGGAGGCTAGCTGAGCCGCACCCTTCAGGTCTTGGAATATCGTTTGCTCAACGGGAGGTGAATGAGAAGAGCTGACTCGTCCTTCTGCCAAGCCATGATCGAGCCTGATATGCCAACGATTTGGAATACCATAAAACGAGGCTACTAAGGAGAAAAGAGACAACAAAAATCTCGGTAGGAGTGACGATGTAAAGTGGTATCATTGAAACTATCCTATCCCAACAGGTTGATAAACGGCTCCGGCCACTTGCCCATCAACAGCGGCCTATCTCCCAACCGACCACTTACCGGTGCCAGGATCCTCAACTTGCGCTTCTCCTTGTCGATATCGGCAATGTACACGTACCCCATCACGTTGGCCGTCCGTATCGTCTCCGGTGAGTCTTTGACTGAGGCATAGACGATCGCCAGCGTCCAATGGGCCATGGCCTGTGCGGGGTCCACGCGCATCAGGCTCTCGTCGGCGCCACCGCCGTACATGGAGTCTAGATCATGGCCAAGTAGGTTAGCAAACATTGTGCATGACTTTTGGGCGGGATTGTATGATGGGGTGCGAGGTGATCACGTACAATCTCCTAGTTTGTATATCGCCAGGCTATCAAAGTCGACTTGCTGCGTGGCGGGACTCAGCGTCTGGCCGATGCTACCGAAGAAGTATTCCTTAATGGACGCCTCGCAGGCCTGCTGTGTGTAGCCCACGTCGCGCTCACCCACGCCCTCTGACTTTTCCAAGAGGAGGATGCTGTAATTCTCGCCGAGGCTAGTCCTTTCCGTTGAGAAGCGCTTGGTGATTTCGGCGTTGAGACTTGGTGAGCCCAACACAATAATGATGTTGACTGCTACCATGTCAGTGCCAGCACATCAGACCATCGATAGAGAAGATGGGAATCATACCTGAGAGCTCCTCCACGACATGCACAAAGTTCTCCATACCAACCTGGTTGGTCTCCGTCACGGCCTGCGTATCGATTATCATGCCAGACCCCTTGACCTCGGGATCCTGCCCCAGCCTCGACGTCACCGTCGCCGCCATCTTACTCACGAGCTCCTTGTACTTGGCCGGGTCCTCTTCAGAGCTCGCGTGGCCGTAGTAGTACACCAGCGGCAGCTTGACCGGCACCTGGCTCGGCCCGCTCGTCGGCGTCGTACCCCACCCGTCAACAGCCTCGACATCCAACAACGACCCGACGACGCTGGCGCTCAACGTCCCCGGCAAGCTCAGCATCCCCTCCTTGGGATCCGTGTTCACCACCAACGGCTGCGCGCCCACCCGCGCGGCATAACTCGTCAGCGTCCTCGTCAGGCTCGTCTTCCCCGTCGTCGGCGGCCCGCAGACGGCGATCCTTGGCCCTTCCCTCCTCTCGGCGGCGGCGCGCTGGCGCATGGCGGTGAGCTGGAAGTGCAGGTTCAGGACCGAGTTGGCGGGGGAGTCTTGTGGTTTGGCGTAATCTGCGACGGACTCTTCCGCCAGCACGCCCTCGACCTCGAGCTCGCATCCCTGCAGGGTGAGGATCTTGGATCTGGTGCCGGCAAAGGTGTAGATGTGCTGGAGGGCGAGCTCGGTGCCGTCTTTTTCGGCGGTGCCGGAGAGGAGTTTGAGGGTGATTTGGGTGTCGAAGGCGACTTGGAAGCGCCATTCCCAGAAGGGCTGGAGGCGGATTGTGCGGGTTTGGTTCGCGGATGTCGGTTGCTGGTGGAGGGTGTGTGTTAGCTGGCGGTTCTCGAGCTCTCTTGATGGTGTGGTTTCAAGAGAAAGACGGTGTTTTTTTGCTTACTGGCGCCACCAGGTGGCCCAAGCCGGGGATCGACATGGCTAGATTATCTTAAGATCATAGGATGTCGGGTCTTGAGGATAAGGGGCGTTGCGACCTCTGGAGGGTTGAGGAATCGTCAAAGATGCAGCAACTTGAGTCGCGTGGAAAGTCACTGCCAACGCGCCCACTGGGAATTTCAATTGAGGACCTTGACATCACGGCTGGGGATACTGGGATGGTCCGTGCGGGAGCTTCCCACACCTGGCGGGGGTTTATTCGGCGGGGCAGCGATTCTCAGGGCCGTCGTCACTGTCGCATGCGGCTTCCATGTTCCTGCATATTCTCCAGGTCTAGCGGGACTGGGAACACGGTGTGTATGCTGTATGCGTTTCGGGAGGGAACACGATATGAGATAGAGGTATTAACACCAGGTATTCTTTCTAGAAAGATTTGGAGAATGAATACGGTAATCTTCGAGGCGCATGACCCTGAGAAGCAACCGCAAAAGTCCAGCAAAAAGCGCACGATCCAGGGATCCACCCCGGTGCGGTGATGCCCCTCAGGAACCCAAGCCCCACCTCAGATCCCCCGGCTGCCTCCGCCTCGGCCGCATGTTCTTCCGCAGCAGCCAATCATTTGGCCGTCTTACCTCGGGCCTAACCAGCACCATTACGCAAGTCCCCCACGCCTCACCAGTCATCCCAGCTCCGCCACCCTTACGACCCGTTACGTACCGGCTCACGTCTCAATTGCTTCGCTGCCTGCTGACCTCATCTGAGCCCGCGGGACCGAAACCTTGAGAGGCGAGAGGCGCAAACGTCACCTTATTTGCACCCATTCAGCCACCCACCTGTAACTTCTGCGCAAGAACATCTTCTTGCAAAAGCGTCGACTTTGGACTACTACAAGCATCATCACCGCAGAGACCCTCAAGTCTCTTTCCAATCACCACTACACCTTACACACGTTACAATCCCAGCATCACACCTCGCCGAAATGTGTTCCGCAGACATCTTCCTCGGCCTCCTGGCCCTCCTCTTCCCGCCTCTCCCAGGTAATTACATTTCCATCCATCCGCGCATTCCAAAACGCATGCTCTTAACTAAACCAAAACTAACATTTACTCCAACAGTCTGGGTAAAGCGCGGCATTTGCGGCGCAGACTCAATAATCAACATCCTCCTCTGCCTCCTAGGCTACATCCCAGGCCTCATCCACGCCTGGTACATCATCGCCAAATTCCCCGAGCCAGACTACGAATACGAGTCCGTCCCGCAACAGGACCGCGAGGGCGGCCGCGTCACCTACGTCTTTGTCCACGGCAACGGTCCCAACGGAAACGGTCCTCATACCCAGCAGCCGCGCCAGCAGCCCCGCCCCTCGCAGCACGGCGGCAAGGGTAACGGCGCCGTCGGATACGGTACCACGAACAATAGCAGCAACAACAACAACAATGCTGGCGGTTCGTCGAGACAGCAGCAGCAGCAGTTCTCTGCGCAGCAGCAGGGTGGCGCTGGAGAGGGAAGCAGCGATGGCGCTGTGCCGCCTAGCTATGCTGAGGTCGTGGCTGGCGACAATAAGATTCAGACTCGGGATTAGAGTAGGATGGAGATACTCTAGAGTGGCGTTGTAGGGTCTTTGACTCTACTGCTGCTGTTGCCATTCTCTATTTCTCTCGAGTGTTTTCTTCTTGTTTCTCTCCGGCTTTTCTGGCTTTCCTTCGCTTAGGCTTGCCCGGCTTGTCATTCTATTGGTGGCTCTTGTGAATTGGTTTAGTTTTTGTGAGCGCGGGGATTGTTTGGAACCTGTCGGTATGTGGAGTTGGGGTGGTTTGACGAAGTAATAACGTTTTGCACGAGTTCACGCGAGACACTGGTGGGATTTTTCACAGTATCATTCACATACACTAGGTACTAGGTACCAGATCCTCAAGACTCATCTCTATAACGGGGTATCTTGGTCCAATTTTTCCGAAACGCCCATGCTTTCGTGACGTAGCTACCTAGGGGGCAGTCTAATACAATGCCTCGTTTTCAGCCTCAAGCTATCCCCTTGCTTATGGTCCACCTAGCCAATGAACTCTGTCATCTTCCATGAGACGGCCAATCCAGTGATGTTCGCGTAGTGACAGTCAGCCGATAACTCTTGTACTAGACCAATGTCAGGGGTCAGTTAGTTACAGCTTCTTGCTTGCCGGTCTTCGCGTCTTCCTTGATGGCCGACGGGGCAGGGCGCTCATTAGGTACGGGCTCCTTGTAGTGTCGCATGAGGTTCTGCGGCAGGAAGGTGTACCATTCCACGAGAACTTGACGAGCCTGCTTCACAAACTTGATGCCAATGTTGAGCTCGCATACGCAGAGTTGCAATTTGAAACCTGGCTTCAGGCGCTGCAGGATTGAATCTTCCAGGTAGAAGGTGTCCCGCTGTTCATCAGACAAAATGATATCCTCTCCGTAGTCGTAGCCATCCTCAATGACGCAAGGCTTCGTGATGATTATTCCGACGGGCTCGAATCGGTGTCCCTTGCCTAGACGAATGCTCCGTGTGAGCCTGTGCGCCTCATCATTCGGCCGGTGAATGGAGATAATCTCGACGCTGCACTCCTCCTCGCCGATGACCTCAATGGTGCCGTACTTCAGACCATTAGCGACAGCATTGAACTGCTCCTGGGTAGCATTCATTGCCATTGCAACCTTGAAAACCGCTTCAGGGGAGAAATCCATTGGCCGCTGGAATTCCTCGGCGTCTCCAAAGAAGAAAAAGTCATTGCAAAACAGCTCCGACAGCGCCAAATTGAATTGGCCAGGAAATCGGAGGAGAGCTTGATGAGACAACGGCAGGTCGACTTTGGCCTTTTGGCAGAGATCCAGAGCTTCTTTGACATTGGCGTCATACTCTGGGCACACGTCGTGCTGGAGGATATAGGTGAGAAAGTTCTCTAACAGGCCAACCGCCTTGCCCATCTGCGCGTAGTCCCAGGCCGTCTCGTTCGGGAGCGTCTCGGAGCAGAAACCCGAGACTACACCGGCAAAGTCGACATCCCAGCCATCGGGATCATCGTCGTTGTAGAACCGCGCACCACCGCCGGAGCTGTAGACAGTGTCAATGGCCGTTGCTTCTCGTCTCTCTGCAGGTGTCATGTCCTTGAGGTCGGCATCTACATTGCCGCCAAACATGCGAGGTGTGGTGTCGATGCCTCCCAAGAAGAGGTACTTGTTGAAGATCTGGTCGGAAGCGCCCAGACGGCGGCGAGCGCGGTAGCGCTGGATGCATGATTGGATGCGTCTTTTGGTCTGTCAGTTGAAGTTGTAAAGTCAAACGAGGAACGAAGAATCTTACTCGGCAAAGGTCAACTCTCTGTAAGCCAACGTCAGTGATTGCCCGGAGCTAGCGATGGATGACACGAATCACTTACAGGCTGTAGATGTTCTCACGCTCCTCCTGGGCTTCGGCAGGAGTCATGGGAGGGTCGGCATAGAATTCTGAAAGAGCATGTCAGCAAGGCACAGCCGCGGTCGAATGTGGTCCAATGAGATATACCCTCGAAACCAGTGCCGCGATACTTGTGCATGGCAGTTGGACCGCGGTCGGCCGTGGCGGACTTTTTGCCAGCCATGTTGTCGCGGTGTTTTCGTTGTGGCTGAAGATGGATATCTTGTTGTATGAGGAGAGGAAGTGCAAGTCTACAGATCGCGGTTGCGTAGAGAAGAGAAGCAAGTGTACTGGAGGTGAAGACGGGTAATTACTTCACGCTGTTGGTCTTGGAGAAGAGATTCCACCGAAAGGTAAGGTGGCTAGTACGCAGGGAAAGGGTATTACTCGTTCTTTCCACTTCCGATTCTATAACTTTCCCATCGCACTTACAAAGGAAGGAGACGGTTTGCATCACCGCCTTCCTTGTATCACAAATTACAGTAAGAGCACACTGAAAAAAAAAACCATGGGATTAGCAGGAAACTCATTCCCAAGATGCTTTCTGGACTCCCCCCCGACGCAACACAAGTATGTTGAAAAAGCATGAGATACTGTTTGGTCCTCGGAAACGACATGCGCAGATCGTGGATCCGATCTAAACTTTGCCTGATGTAAGAATCCATGCGACCCAATCACTTCAGGCATTCCCAGTTATCGGAGGCCTGCTGCAGACGATCTTCCATACAAACGCTGACGGTGAGCCAATTGTCTCCGAGAGCCTGGGTTGCCCAGGGGTTTGTGACGTGAAAAGCAGGCCCGGTGGATTGGTGGGTGGAAGCCTGCGTGCCGTACGTGCCTTAGGTACGTGGGACGCGGCACAATATCATTGGAATTTGAGGATGGCTTGCATCTGCAGCGCGGCATTTCGCTTCTTTGAGGCGGGTGGAAAAAGCTGAGGCGGAGTTACAATCACCATGCATGAAAAGTCCCCATCGCATTCGTATGGCGCGCGCCGCAGGAGGAAGAGGATGGATGATGACTGACCAAGGCGGCGGGCTGCATATTCCATCTGCTGTGTGGAAAGCCCAGCTGACATGATTCGGTCCTGTCACGGGAGAGCAAGAGGGGCATCTCTCGTGCGCTGGAGAGGCAGCGGTGAGACCATCCGATGCAGATAACACGACATGATCCGAGCAGCTGGTGGTATCGTGAAGAATGGCAGATACGGGCCGTTGGTTCCCTTTGGATCTCACAGGCGTGGCGATGCAACCTTTTTGTGGTAGTGGTGGGAGGCATCACGATGAACCTGTCCAACGATCCGTGCCATATCTTCGGCAATGGCGAAACTCGCGACTGCCATTTCGTGTAAAGTCGCCGCGGATTCATGAGATACAGTCACACCGTCGAGATTGTTCAAAAGCGAAAGTCCCGAGAGCGAATGCTCCGTGAAAGCCAGCGTCAGACTCGGAGAGATACGCTGTAAGGTAAGCGAAGTCGCAGGCCAGCTGACGCATCGCCCTTTGTATGCAGGATCCTTAGTCTATTGAACACCAGTGGGAGTTAGCTCGTCGGCCACGACAACCTTGACCAAAGCCTCGACTTGCTGTGTCGTGCAAATAAAGGGAATATGAGCTGCGCCTATTCAGGCCCTGTTGGAACTTTGGAGCAAGGTTGAATAGAGGGGAAGAGACAAGGAACTTGAGTAAGGCACTCGGCCGACTGCGGGACAGGCGGTTGGGGTCCATGGCTCACGGAGTGGCTCGAGTGTGGAATGCCAGTGGTTCGTGTGTACGCCTGGATATGGGAGCGACATGGGCCAGCGGCTGGACAAGGCGGATTCTGAAAGGAAAGGGCTGAATTGAAGTTTGAAAGTGAGGGAGGAAGAGGAAGACGGGAGATTATTGGTGATGTGGCTGAGCAGATTCGCAGCTTCCGCCACCTTTCTAGTTCTTTTCCAACGTTGGACTCCCGCAGCGGCCGGCAAGGGTCTTTTTTGGAGGGGCACAGACAGAGCCTGGAAGTGGATGGAGGGGGCGGAAGAGGAAGTAGCGTCGTTTCGATAGGTAGAAGAGGTCCCTGAGAATAGCGGGCAGCGGGGGGTTCGTTTGCGTTTGCGGTTGTTCTGGTCCCTTTTCCTTGTTCCATCCCGTGCCACCCACCTCATCCCAAGGCACCTGAAGGTAAATCATGCCTGCTACCAGCACCGTTGCGACGTCGTGTTTGTGTCTCTGTTCTCGAACGCCTCTGGCCAAGTTGGACGGGAGCAAACAGCGCTCATTGCCTGAAAAGACTTCTTGTCCCGTCCCGTCTGCCACTTGCACAAGGCAAGGTACTTTAGGTAAGGTACTCCGTGCCTAGGTGGGTAGGTAAGGTCGATACGTACTCAATGGAACCCTCCCTCAGGCTTTGGGGGAAGGGGCGCGACGATCCACTGCAAAAAAAGTACCTTGTGCTGCTGAAAGTACCTTGCACTTCGTTGGGGACACAGAGATACCTTTTCAAAGTTCCAAGTACGAAGTGCCTTACGGTACAACATCGCAGCGCCTCGGAGGTACGTACCACTTCGCGAATGGCATTTTCAATCTCGCTCTCGCGCCCAAATCAATTTGGTTGCTGCTGGGCTGCCGGCGCCTGCCAAACACATTCACTCATTCATCGTGTATTCGTGACTACGCCTCCTTCTTTCTCCTCCCCATCCTGTCATCTAACCTTGTTCCCTTGTCACCATCCTCCCACACCACCCCGGAACTAGACCAACTGCATTTTAACCTCTCCCCGTCCCCTTCATCTCGACACTGGACTCCTGGAGGCTCGTCTCTCTTCAAGTTCTCAACATTGCCGATCCACAGCTCTCAGGCTCGCGCCTCCATTCGCTTCCCTTGCCAAGCCGTCTCGACTGCCGTTTACCGACATTTACCAGATAGAAAGAGCCAGAGAAATAGAAAGCCAAGAAGACGCACAACTCGCAGACATACATCAGTTCGCCACGCCGCGCTACGGCCATCCAGCATCACATCCGTTACAAAACTTTCCATTTACCCCGACTTCCACGCGCCAGGCGCATCTAGGATACCCCCTGGGCAACCGAATCGCCCATAGACACTCTTCAACAACCACCGATTCTCTCTCGTTTTTTCCAACTCTCCCTAGCGCAAGCACCATGTCCAAAACAAAGATTCCCAATC